GGCGGATGGGGGTGAGGGGGGGAGGTCGGGCGGAGAAGAGGGACTCCAGAAATCCAGCGGGGGGAAAGCCAGACCCGTCAAAATGTTTGCTGATGTTTCATGGGAAAGGGGCTGATTTTATAGGAGCCCTGATGGGGACATGTCATTGATAGGCTTGGAAGGCTGATGAATGGCCCCAAGTCAGATGGGGATGTGGCAAGGCTCACTGGAAGTCTTTTGTGGGGCTGTTTTGAATAAGAAAAGCTCCCTCCAAACCAAAAAAAAAGGGGGCTTAGATCTACGCAGTCCTAACACTTTGGCCTCCTCGCTTTCTGTTATGGCATTTCATACATTTTTACACACCTCCAACCTCAAAATAAACACATTTAACCTCCTGGTTTTGACTCTACAGTCACCTGCAGACACCTGTTGCTACATCGTCTCCGCCTAGAAAACTTTTATTTTTTTGTAGATTTGTGGCGATTATTTTTTTACTCCACTCATTAAAACTCCACAAGTGTTTTTTTTTTTTCTTTATTTCGAGTTATTGCCTCTTTTTGCTTCTGGTGCTTTAYTTTTTGGTGTGCCTCTGAGAAGAGGGAACGGTCACAAAAGGAGATGGAAGAGGAGGAGGAGTGGGGGGGGAGTAAAAGTGCAAAGCCCGAGGCTGGGAGGGCTCTGATGGAGTGCCTGAGAGCTGGAGAAGGGAAAGCTGTGATTAGAATATGAATGGAACGGCAGGAGAGGGGGAGAGGAGAAGGGGAAAAGACGAGGGGAGAGGAGAAAGGCGGATTATGGCTGAATTACTCACCGCACCACGGTAGGCGAAGAGGGGGACTTTCTCTTTCGGTGGGCAGGCAGGAAGGCACGAAGGCTGCTGCTGATACTCTGAGGACACCTGAAGCACCAGGAGGATGCCTAGATCTGACTCTGAAAGGCACAAAAGGCTAAAAAAAAKCACAGTTACACCTCAACAAGTCACCTGGTCCAGCCTGAACGTTGCACAAATGTGATCTGATTACTGTCAATCAAAAGAGATGAAGGTGGAGTCTGAACATCCATCATCTTCATCATTTTCCTGCTGTTATCTCCTTGTTAAAACCTCATGAAACAGAACAGGTGCAGCCTCCTCCGGCTTTCCCCATTATCACACTCTGTCTGCACAAATGTGTGAAAAGACCCCATTTGTGTGTGTGTGTGTGTGTGTGTGTGTGTGTGTGTGTGTGTGTGTGTCATCAAGGCTGCAGTTTAAAGAGGAAACAATTCAACTTAAAGCAGCTTTTTCCTCCTATTCAAGGCTGCAGCACAAAACATCCAGTMGARTGATCGTCATGACTTTCAAATATTAAACAAATACACTTCTTCTAATTCTTTTGTAAAAAGAATTTTACCAAACTATTATCTTTTTAATAAATAAATTTAATATTAAAATCATTCCTGTCAAAAAAACAAGAAGGTGGAGTCTGATTATTACAGTCAGAGCTCCAAAAAACTAAGAAATGTTTTCTGTAAGAGGATAAAAATAAAAAATAAAAAAGCACAACAACCAAAATGACAAATCCATAGGAGTAAAAAAAAAAAAAAYAATTATTTCAGAAAAGATGTCAGAAAAAAAAAKAAACAATTCAACCAAACATTTCAAATTGTTTTTTGTCGCCAATTTATAAAATGTTTCCTGGTGTTTTAAAAAGTTACCTGYTTTTATTTAAATGTCTGTTTTACAGGTGAAAATTCAAGTTCAGGTTTGTAAGATATGAATATTGAAAATGTTTTTTCTGCCACGATATTAAAACTAAAACTTTACAGGTGTTAAATTAAACAACAGAACAAAGTGTTGAACTTTATTTATTAACGAGGAACTAATAAACAAATATCATGCTTTTTTTGGATTCTTCTTGTTTTTGATTTGCATCTCTCTATTTATTTATTTATTTGCGCCCTCATCCAGCTGATTATTTTTTTCTTTACTCTATTTCTTTGTGTGTGCAATTGCCTACATTTTTAAATTATCATTAATCCACGAACAACTCATAATCTCACCAGTCTTCAGACCAGAGACATTTTGTTCAGTCATGTTTAGTTTTTTGTTTTGAAATCTTGCACAATTGTTTGTTTGTCTTTAATGTGCTGTAAATCAACATCAGTAAAACTCTGTGAACAAATTTGTCAAATTTTCTCCCCATGTAATCTGATTTGTCAATCTTTACTTTTATTAACAATTCTGATCAAACTAAAATCATTTTATATGAAAAACAAACGTAAAATAATTAGTATTTCTATCTGTCAGATTGCTGAGGTGAAAAATGTCAAACTTTAAATTTTTTTAAAGTAAGAAAGTTATTTTCACAAACACAAAAAGTTGAACTTTTAAGAAATTGCCAGCAAAGTTTTCTTCTCAAAGTTTGACTTTTAGATTTTTGTTTAAGCTCAAAAACGCACCAGCTATTTTTTTTCACTTTCATTCACCTGCTGAAGCACCAAGTAGTTCATTTAAACACTTTTTTCACTTGATGTAAGAATTAAGCAACATTAATAAGACAAACTAAAGTGGAAGAAGTAATAACTGTCCACAACTAAGACAAGATGCATCCTAAATACTGCGGGAGATGAAACAATTCAGGTTTATAGTTTGATGAAAATAAATAAACTTAAATACTTTTCATTTTTAATCAAATCTGCAAACAATAAAAAGTGATGATTTGCATGTTTGTCAGAAAAAAAGTCAATCCTGATCATGATTTTTAATTCAAGCTAAATTAAAGGTTATTGTCAACAAGTGGAGAGAAACAGATTAATGAGCAAAGAAGAAATAAAACATGCAGCAAAGCCTTATGGGTAGAGAGTAGACTGAGACACARAGGGTGTGAAATAACGGTTCTATATTTATTTTGTACACACACACAAAAAACATAAATCACAGAAAGAAAAAAAAAACATCCTGTAAACTTCACAGTTAATGTCAGAGAAAAAAAATCCCAACAAAAACAAAAACCAGTTCCGTCTTCAGCCTGTTTCTCTCCAATCAACTTAAACAACACGAGCAAATAAAATCTCCAGATGAAATAACTTATCTGACTCTGACCCTCTCACTCATCAGGCTGAGTTTCTGCTCACTCGTTGTAGCGCGACAGTTTGAGGCGGGGGATGATGTTCATGGACTGCAGCTCCTGGAACAGCAGCTTGCAGGCGTACGGGATCCTCAGGGAGGAAACGTGGCAGGAGGACTTACAGTAGTGACACCTGGGGAACACAAAGCAGCACTTCACAAACCTCAGATAACATGTTTCTGAAGACAGCCAGTGGTGAGAGAAACAAGAAACACCACCAAGGCCAAAATCAGTCAAACTAACCTCAACTCATTTTCTGATTCCTGCTTTTTAAGCTACATTTAAATCATCCTGATATGAGCTGTTCCAGGGATATAGTTTTATTTGTTTTGCATGTCAGGAATATTCCAAGTGTTGCAAGTATTTAGCAGATTCTAATGAAGATTTCTTGATGTTATTTGAAAGAAAAAAAGGCATTTTTTTACTATTTCGAATCACCAACTGGTCCCCTACGAGATACCACCAGCAAAAAACAGCTTCCTAAAATATTTATATTTTTATTGAGGCTCATCTGAATGGAAGATGTAAGAAAGGAGACAGTCACAGAGATGATACAGTTCATGTGAGTAAATTATTAAAAATCATAAAGTTACAAATAATAAAATATAAGGATTAGCAAGAGATTAATTGAGAATTTACACAACGTAAAGTTTAACTGGTCCTCAGGAGCCAGTGTCCTTCAGGTTCGACAGAAGCCTGTTAATCCCTCATTCATTCAAAATCAGGGAAACATCTAAAACATGAAGGATAGTGGCTCTCCAGGACCAGGACTGAGGACCACTGGTTTAGAGGAATCGTAAAGAGGGACTCGTCGTTTCGGTCAAGTTCCAGAGAGGAAGTGAATCAGGTCTGCTGGATGTGGTCTTCCTCTATGACCCAGATTTGGTGATTCAGTCTGAACCAGAGCAAACATCTCGGGTGGTCTACATAAYGTGACACTGCATGCTTTCTGATTAAAGCCAAATAAAGTTTAATTTTGCTTCAGTTTCTGGTTGAACATCATGTATGAAGTCATCATCCTAGTTGTCACAAGCTGACTTGTGGGAGATATAAAAAAAAACGTACCACCCGGAGTATCCCAACAGGCCACACTCTCCACACACGTCCACCTCGAAGGCGTCACTGGAGATCATGAGGCGTTCCAGCAGCAACATGCTCGCTCCGTAACCAATCAGACAGTCGCGCTCCATCTCCCCCAAACGGAGACCTCCGTCTCTCGAGCGACCCTCTGTGGGCTGCCTGTCCACAGGAGAGTCCAGGAAATTAAGAGGAACTTGAGCTAAAGCTGTCCTCATTTATCAAACTTATCATCAGGGATGGCTGGTTTTACCTGGTGAGAACAGCTCTGGGGCCTCGGGCTCTGGCGTGCATCTTGTCCAGAACCATGTGCTTCAGTTTCTGGTAATAAACCGGTCCAAAGTAGATGTAAGRCTCCAGAGGTTCTCTGAAGAAACAAAACACAATAAAAGGTTTTTTTTTTTTACATTTCAGGCAAATAAATTCAGACACAAACAGAGTAAAACATTCAAACACTTAAACTAAACCACAATAAAACAGGGTTTTTGGTTGTTTATTAAATTTGAGCCACTGTAGCTGCGTTTCCATTGCAAATGTGCGCAAAACTTTGTCAATATTCTGTTAATGTCAAAAAACACAGTTTTGCAACTGCTGTGCTTCCATTAAGTAAGAAATGCTATTAAAGTCGCGTGAATACGTTTGTTCTCGCGATAAGTCATTACAAACATGGCGGCAATGGATGTAAACACATAGCACGTTGCTACCACGACACTAGCGCTCATCATCAGAGGAGACGTCGGCGTCTTTTATCGAGGCTTTCCAGAGAC